GTACACAGTAATTCCACAGTCAACATGTTTCTCATCACTTTAACAACTTTTATAATACACGCTATAAATCACAGTGATTCACACATTTTACTTACCGTCACTACTGTTCGCTTCTTTAATTATCTATTTATCGTTGGCTTTTCTTCCAGGCGTATATACTTCCAAAGGTGGCGTCTCGAATGCACTCGGGCTTCCCAATTCATTCATGATCATTCGAGAAATTTCACGCACGCTACCAGCGCCAAACGCGCCAGCAGAGTCACGTGACTTCCGCTATTGTGACAAAACAATAAACCGAATTGTGCATCTTAAATTACTGTTTTTATTGTATGATTTTTGCGGATTTTGTTTATGTTCTGGGTAGAAATATGTTTATGTTGGTCGCGTTACAGATTATTAAAACTTTAAAGTTTACTACGATGTTGCTATACTGATTATACAAGAACTCTGTATTCATATAACAGTCTTTCCTTTATCGCGGTGCCGAGATTGGTGCGATTGCACCACGTGCCACTGAACACATTCACACGTTCAGGCCCCCCAGTAGCACAGAGGTATGTCTGCGGACTTACAACGCTAGAAACCGGGTTTCGATGCCCGTGGTGGGCAGAGCACAGATAGCCCTTGTGTAGCTTTGTGCATAATTAAAAACAACACAAACAAACAAACACACGTTCAGCTTAAAGTGCGTTACGAAAGTGATACTAGGTCCAGCTATTTAAAAGTATCGTGTAGGCGGCGAGTGCTGTTGACCGATTACTTTTCCTCTGGGAGACAGTTATAAATTTGGGGTAGCTTTAACTGAGTCTTGGGACCTGGTCGATTAGTTCAAGTGTCAGGTTGAAAATACCATTTTTATAAGATTAGCTTTGTTTCGCTGTTTGCTTAAAAATGCATAGTATTGTTACGACAGTGGAAGTCACGCGACGCTGGGAGCATGCGCGCTGGAGTTTCTAAGAGGATCATGAATTTTCCTGGCAACTCTAGTTTGTTCCAGACGCCCTCTTTTTTAGTATATAAGCCCGGCAAATAAAGCCAGCGAAGAAGATAGAATTGCAGAGATAAGCAGACAGATTGAAGATAGAGATAATTGAGTCAAGCGAACAGTAGGCACCGTAAGTAAAGTGTGTGAATTACTGTGATTTATAGTGTATGTTATAAAGGTTGTTAAGTTTAAAGTGACTATGGAAATTAAGTATATTACAAAGTTTGTAACGAAAAAGAATAAACTAGTTTTAATCAACAAAGGACTTGTATCGCTGAAGTCACTCAGAAAGAATTTTTACCGGAAATTATCAAACAAGCAGATAGTAACAGTATGATAATGGCCAAAGAATGGTGTTGGACTTTCATTACACGTTTAATAATTAAACTAGCTTTGTTAATTCTTATTTTTATGTTATATTTTATTTCAAGAGGAATAAAAAGTCTAGAAAATTAACACCAGGTAATTATTAAATTCAAAAATTGGTGAACACGATGTTAACGAAAATCTGCATCTGAAATAATATTTAAAAAACAACAAAAGAAGTGGCAGAAAGTAATAGTTCGTTAATTATTGATCATATAACAAGGGTTTTAGTAAGATAAAAAAAAATCAGGAAATTATGAAACTAAGTAAATATTTAATTTAGCGAAACTTCTTAGCGACGTCTAAACAGTGTACTCATTACTTCATCAAATCATATGTTGTCGAGAAATGATGCTTGATGACAGTGGCGTGGCATGAGGGGGCAGTGGCCCTGGCGCAGGTGTGAAGGAGCGCAAAATCTCCTCTGGCCTATAATGCCTATTAATTAATAATTATGCACTCCCCTAGGATATAGCGCAACTGCCCTACGTTAAGTAAATACGACACAGTGTTATGTTACTTGTGTATTACG